TCATCACTACTAGACCAAGTTTACAAGAAATGCTTAAGGCAGTCCTAGAACAAGAAGCCCAAGGACAGAAACTACCATCATGAAAACACAAGTGTAAAACTCACTGGTAGTAGACACACAAATGAGAAAGAGAAAGGAATCAAACTTTATCATGTCTGAAAGCTGCCATACACAAAGATAAACAATAAGAGAGGAAGAAAGGAACAAAGAATATGTAATAGGAGGCTATCTAAAACTAATAACCTTGAGTGTAAACAGGTTAAGTTCCCCAGTTTAAAAATATAGACTAGTTCAATGAATTAAACACACAAAAGGACCCAACTGTATGCTGCAAGAAACTCACCTCACTGATAAAGAAAAAAAAAAAAAAATACAGACCACACAAACAGAGGATACGCTGTGAGTATCCTATTAGACAAAGCAGACTATGTAGAAAACTGTAAAAGCAGACAGTGAAGATCAGTACATAATCATAAGAGGATAAATTCAGCAAAAGATGAAATAATTACATATGTAGCCAACCCCGGACCACTCTAACATCTGAAGTTCATATTATATCTACAAGGAGAGAGATATATATAATAATACTTGGGAAATCTAATACACCACTTTCATCAATGGACAGATCATCCAGACAGAAAATCAGCTTTTCTAAAAGTGAACATAACAGGTATGTACAGAACATTTACCTAAGGGCTGCAGATTACGCACTTTTCATCAGCACATGGAACATTAGCCCAGGTTACCATACGTTAACCCACAGAAAAAGACCGGAAGATTTTTTTTTTAATGAAATGATATCATTTATCTCCTCTGAACACAAAGGAATAAAATTAGAAACCAACAACAAGGAGCTATGGAAATCATAGCAATACATGGAAATTAAACAACCTGCTCCTGAACCACCAGGGAGACAATACAGAAATTAAGTCTTTAAATTTCTTGAATTAAAACAGAAACATACAAAAACCTATGGAATGCAACAAAGGCAGTACTAAGAAATTTATAGCAATAAACACATCAAAAAAGTATATTTCAAATGAATATACACCATGATCATGAGATTTTTCCCACAAATCCAAGAATGTTTTACCATAAAAAAAATCAGTAAGAATGATACCGACAGAATGAAGGATAAAACCACATGACCATCTCAGTACATGTAGAAAGAACATTCATTCATTCAACAAAATTCAACATCTCCTGAAAAAAACTTTCAACACATGAGACTTAAAAGAAACTTATCTCAACATAATTAAGGCCACAGAGAAGAAATCCACAGCCAGCACCATACTGAATGGGGAAAACTTGTGTTTATTCTAAGATTTTTTAACAAAAGGATACCCACTTTTATCATTCTTTTTCAACATAGTACTCGAAGTCCTGGCCAAAGCTAGGCAAGACAGAGAAAGAAAGGTCATTCAAATTCTAAAAGAAGCCAAACTTTCTTTTTGCAGCTATCATCTTATATATGGAGAAACTTGAACACTGCACTGAGAAACCCTTAAAACTGATAAACAGCTGGAGTAAAGTTGCAAAGATATGATCAACAAAGATCAATAGCATTTCTATGTATGCACTAAAAATACACAAAATGAACTAGCCAAAAAGACACCAAGGTAGTATGTCGTTTATATTAGCTATTTTAGAAATGAAATACCTAGGAATAATTTAAGGAGGTGAAAGGACTCTACAATGAAAATCATAAAACACTGATGAAAGAGACACAAAAAATGGGAAAACTTCTAATGTTTATAGACTAAAAAAATCAATATTGTAAAAATATCTACACCATCCGAAACAATCTACAGACTCAATGTGACCCCTAACAAAGTATCAATGACATTCTTCATAGAAACAGAAGAAAGCACTCTCAAACTCCTGTGGAGCCTCCAAAGACCCCAGATATCCAAAGCAGTCTTCAGCAACAAGAACAAAGCTGAAGACATCACAACACCTGATCTCAAAACATACTACAAAGCTCTAGTAGCCAAAATAGCACTGCACTAGCATGAAGAGACACATATAGACCAATGAAACAGAATAGAGGCCCTAGAAATAAATCAGTGTACTTACAGCCAACAGATTGTGAACAGAGATGCCAAAAACATACTAGGAGAAAGTCTCTTTAATAAATAGTCCTTAGAATACTGGATGTTCATATGCACAGAGATGAAACCATCTCTCTGTCACCACATACAACAATCAGCTTAAAATGAATCGAAAATTTAAATGTAAGACTTGAAATTGTGTCACTACTAGAAGGAAACCTGTAGCGAATGCTTCAGGACATTCGTCTGGGAAGACAGGTTTTGGATATGAAGCTAAAAGTACAGGCACAAAACCAAAAATTGTTAAATGGAATCATATCAAAGTAAAAAGCTTCTGCACAGCAAAAGGGTGCAGTGACACCGTGCAGAATGGAAAAAATGCAAACTATTCCTCTGACAAGAGATTGTTACACAGAATAGTCAAGGAACTGAATACAATAGCAAAAAATAAAAAATAATTCAATTTTAAAATGGGCAAATGACCTGAACCAAAAATTCATAAAAGAAGATACAAATGGCCAATAAGTACAAGAAAAAAATACTCAACATCACTCATCATCAGGGAAACACAGATCAAAACCACAGTGAGATATCACGTCACCCCAGTTAGAATGGCAGTCCTCAAAAAGACAAAAAATAACATGGTAGTTAAGATGCAGATGAAAGCAAACTTTCATGCACTGTTGACAGAATATGATTTAATATAGCCACTGTGGAAAACAGTATCAAAGTTCCTCAAAAAACTGGAGATCCAACTATCATATTATCTAGCAATTCCACTATATATACACACACACACACACACACACAGGCACAAAGGAAATTAGTATATTAGAGATATCTGTATTCCCATGTTTTTTACAGCACTTATCACAATAGCCAAGATATAAAATCAACCAAGATATCCATGAATGGGTGAATGAACAAAGAAAATGTAGTGTATATACACACATGCATAACAGAATATTATTCAGCCATAGAAAAGAACTGAATCTTGTCCTGTGTCACATGTGGATAGAATTAGCAGACCTGTTGAGTGAACCTTACACAGAAAGACAAACCTCATGTTCTCATGTGCAGAAACTAAGAAGGTGTATCACATGGAATTAGCGGATGCAATAGTGGTTGGCAGAGGTGAAGAGAGAATGGTTAATGGGTACAGAACTGCATTTGGCTAGGAGGAATAACTTCCTGATTTTCTATAGCACAGTGTGATAACTGTGGTTGACAACTTATAATTATGTATTTCAAAATAGCTAGTGGAGAAGATTTTGAGTTTCCAATACCAAGAAATGATAAGTGTTTGAAATAAGGGATATGTCTCAAACTCTGGCCTGCCTCATCACATATTTTATTCAGCAACTGAAATATATCACGCTGTACCCCATACATGTGTACAATTGTTACGTGTCAATTTAAAAGTTTTGTTATTAGTTTTACATTTTTTATTTAATTTACTTGAAAGGCAGAGAGAGCAAGCTCCCTTCCACTGGTTCACTTCCACAAATGCCTGCAACCACTGGGACTGGGCCAGCCAAAGCCAGGATCTGGGAACTCAGCCAAAGGCTCCCATGAGGGTAGCAGGAACCAAACTGCTTGAGCCAGCACCTGCTGCCTCTCAGGGTGCACATTAGCAGGAAGCTGCAAAAAGGTCAGGACTCTAACCCAGGTATTCTGATCTGGGACGTAGGAGTCCCAAGCTGTGGCTCAAGCACTTGGCCAAATGCCTAAACCCCCCAAAATATTTATTTTTAATGAAGTTAGGGGAGCAGGCAGTTAGCCTATCAGTTAAGATTCCCACACCCTATATTGAAGTGCCTGCGTTTAATTCCTGCTTCAGTTCTTCACTCCTGCTTCCTTCATAGACCTTGGAAAGCAGCAGTGATGGTTCAAGTAAGTGTGTTCCTGCCATCCAAATGGGAGACCTGGAATTCCTGGCGCCTGGCTTTGGCTTGGGCCTACCCCTGGCCATTGTGGGCATTTGGGGAATGAATCAGTCAGAAGCTCTCTCTGTCCATCTCGCTCTCCTTCTCTCAAATAAATATAATTTTTAAGATGTAAAAAGGTAAAAGATTCTAGGCTAAGGTTATTATACAAGAGGTCTTCAGAAAGTTTGTAGAATACGCATATTATGAAAAAGCTACACATGTATTTCAGAATATTTTGCTGTGAAATAAACTTGCATTTTAAATCTACTTTTCCCTGAGCTTTTTGAAATACCTTTATGAATGAAATTTTCACTTACCTAGAGAAAATTCCAATGTTGAGCAAGATACAGGAAAATTCTTTGCATGTCAACTCTCTGGGGCACTAGTGAGACAGGTTGTATGTCTGGCCTCTGCCCACAATCCTACTGCATCCTTGTGACACTAAAAAAAAATATATATATATATATATACATACACAAACACATGCCAAAAAAATATATGCACAGCCAAAAATGCATTCATGGGGCAGCACTACAGCCAGAGACCCAGTGCACGTGGTTCAGGGGAAGACTTAAGCTCAATTTTCCAGAATTTTCCAGAGTTAGCCAAGTGCATAGTAAGTGCTCAAAAATTTGTTAAGCATGATTCTTTGTTACTATTCATATTTGCTTATTGAGAAATTAGTGTAGCACCTAAATTTAAGCTGTTATTCTAAGTTGAACTAGAATTCCTAACCACAAACTCAGTGCCAGTGGAGACCATCAGACGGTTACCTCGAGCCTTAGAATGGCAAGCACTTGATATATGGCTCCCTGAACCGTTACAACTTGATCTCTTCAGAATTTAGGGTCAAGATAACCAAATCTGACATCATATGTACACTCATAATATCTAATAACTGTGACTTTAAAATATTCATTCTCTTTGCTGGCTTGTTTGAAGTGAAATATCTAGGTAGAATTCGGTACCTTCGTGTGAATTACCATGTGTCATTTCCATCTTTCTGATTGTGTCTCAACAGGACATCGAAGAGACGATGAACACCGCTTTGAATGAGCTCCGAGAACTGGAGCGACAGAGTACAGCCAAGCACGCGCCGGATGTGGTGCTGGATACCTTGGAACAAGTGAAAAACTCTCCCACGCCAGCCACCTCCACGGAATCTCTCAGCCCTTTGCACAGCGCTGCCCTCAGGAGCGCGGAGCCTCAGATCCGGCGTAGCACTAGCTCCTCCAGTGACACGATGAGTACTTTCAAGCCCGTGGTGGCACCCAGAATGGGCGTGCAGCTGAAGCCCCCAGCCCTTAGGCCAAAACCTGCTGTTCTTCCAAAAACAAATCCTACCATAGGACCTGCCCCACCTTCCCAGGGTCCGACAGACAAGTCTTGCACGATGTGAAAACCAGCTGGGCAAGGTCGGAAGGGGAGGCGATTTTAAAAAGCAAATGGATCAGGGACAAAAGTCCGTGATGCGTAACTTTGCTTAGTTTTGTGCTTATGACTGGAGATCGTTTGGCTTTTCTATGTTGTCAAATGTCATGTCTGAGACTAGCTAAATTAACACGGGCATTTGTATTTTGTAATTTTTTTTAAATAACTGGACAAATCTTACGTCATTTTAAAGACAATAGAAACACTTAGACTTACTTGAAAAAAAAAAATCCAATGCTGCACCACTTGTAATGAAGGCAACACCGCTCTCTGCATCATACAGCGCTTCAGACTTAGTGTAGCTCAGGTGAGTCAGAGACGTCTTGGTCCGAAGGCCGGAGAATCCCAGTTCCAGGTTCCGGAGGGGCATAATCAGTGCCAGCCTGTGGCCCTCAGGGTAATGGCTGAGAAGTGGCGAAAGCTGCCATTGTTTGGCAACTGACTGAACACCTCTGATTGCACACGGAGCTGGGGCCCGGCTCCCACTAAAAGCTTGCAGATGTCACGGTGGCATGTGCCCAGTGCGACCCTAAGCCCATGGCACGAACGTATTGGATCACTGCCTTTCCTAACAGCTGCTGCCCGGGTCTAGGTTAAAGGCTCAGTGGAAGGGGGTAGAATCTCTGCAGTTATTGCTGGAACCGGACCTAGGAAAGGAGTGGGGAAGACACTGGCCCCAAAGCTATGGACTGCTCCATCCGTGAACGCTATCAGGCCCCAGAGCTTTCCAAGTCCAGCCCTTGCACTTAGAAAGGACTGGAACAGTTTAATCTTAAGGATTTTTCTGGTTACTCAATGCCACAAACTCCTTCAAGGGTCTATTGCACAATAACTGCCTAGCAGATATTTCTAAATCCCTGTGGAAATGGAGCAGTTGCAGCCGAGTCCCTGGTCCACTCAGTGCTCTGCTCCACGTTCCTTGTTTCCTTTAAACACACCACAAGAGCCTGATGATGCCAACTTTGAAACCCCAGGGTCCTTGTTCTGTGTCTTGAGCTGGCTGGGGTACTACACAGAGCCAACCTGGGAAGACTGCCTTGTGGGTCCAGGATGGTTTCCTCCTGATTTCGTACCTTGGGACCTTGACATTCTTTCAGTTTTTCTTTTGCAATGTGGTCTCTGCGTAACTCGCACAGTCAGCTGGGCTCATCATTCCTCAACTGAGACCATCATTCTCTGGCATGCTAGTACATAGACGATCTTTCATTAGCCTGTATTTACACTGTAGTTTCCCTTTCTTAAAACGCTTGCTTCCCATTCATTTATCCTTTGCTAAGATACAAACACCATTACCCTACCAGCAGTGGCTGGTATCATCTATAGACCTAAAAGCTTTTTACTGTTCTATCATCAAACTTACTTGATGAAGAAACTTACAAAAAAAAAAAATGGATGGCTCAGAACGAACTCCTATGAACCATCATTGATTTCTTTCTGGTTGGGTTTCAGATTCGAAGTCTGTTGCCTCCCCAGCCGAGTCAACATATTGTGGACTTGACTTCATCAGCCCATTGGTAACTACATTGTGTAGAAAGGAATTAGGCTGTGTACCCAAGACCATTACGTTCATAGCTACCTATTTGCCAGTCTAATTTTCTCCTACAGAAAAATATTGAGACATGGTTATCTTTCAAAGTCATACCTCCAAGTTCTCAAAACCATCCTTTTTTACCCACTTTGGGGTCGGGGGAGACGGCCCAGCTCAGCATCCTCTCCAACCCTGGATCATTTCTCTTGAGCTGTAGTTGTCCTTATGCACCTTTGTACACCATGGATTGCCAGCCAGAAATGAGCTTTGAACAACCCTAACTTTTAGATAATCCTCCCAAACTCCCTAGGAAGTTTAAATTTCCTGAGTAATCCCCTAGCTCTTTAAAATAATAAAGATTCTTAAGAATCATTTTCCTTCTTTGATTGAAAAGTGAGATGTTCAAGTATCAAAAGAGTAGAAGCATCTTGCATTTTTCTCGTGTCTTTTTGAAGCTGTAACTTCAGCATTTCAGATCTCACTACTACCAGCTCAGTTCTTTAGACTCCTCCCTGCAGTCTTTCTACTTGAGCTGGACCAAGGATTGCCTTCTGCCCCTCACATCAGGGCCCTCTGCGGCCTTGCATGGCAGAGGGCATGCTGCTGTAGCCCTCCAGAGCCCTAGAGGCTGTGCCTTCTTCAGGAAACGGCTCCCGATACACCCAGCACTCCCTTACTGTACTGTTCTCTATCTTTTCTCCCTCTACTCCTGTGGTCACCTGGAGACACTCTCACTTCAGTTGCAAGCAAAGGGTGTGGCGTCAGATTGAGCAAGGACTTAGTAAGAACTTAGCAGGTCTCATTGCTTTGTTGAGTCAAAGTCTTCAGATTCCAAGGACGTGACACGGTGGTCACCACACAAAAGCTCCAGAATGGCACCCAGCAAAGTTCATTCAACGCTGCAGCAGCTCAGAAGCCTCACCTGTTCACAGCCTTTACAGTGGCAGGTGCAGCACCCAGAGGGGAGGTGGAAAGGGAGACGGAAGAAAGAAAAATCAGCCCTGGAGATGTGATGTGACGCCCCCAGTTTTAGGGTCTTAGCAGTCTTCATGTGTGGTCTGGGAAGGGGTCATTTTGATGATGGATAGATTATGGTTCTACAAAGATCACCTGACTGCACTCACACAAGAATATGTATTCACAGCCGGTATCACACACGCATATGTTCATGTCCTATCCACAGAACTCACTCAAGTAGATTTACCAAGCCGGGCTTTCGGTTTGGGTCAGGGGTTTGGGGAATGGATTGTCATGATAAAGGAAGGTACTCAGTACACATTTTCTGATGAGTGTTGTGTCAGCCGCTTCAACCTTTTGAGGGTGCTTTCTAGAGCTCCACGTTCACGTTTGGTGTCAGCATCAGCATTTGCCAGATTTCCACGTCTTCACACGATGTAATCTGACTTCGGTGCCCCTTGAGCCAGCCAGAGTATTCTCAGTAGGGCCCCAGTTAGTCTATGACAGTGGTCACAAACCCTTCGCAACAGATAGAGCGCCCCAAGGGTCAAGTTGTATCAGTTATGAGTTTGTACGTTTGCTCTTCCCAAAATGGGGTTATAATTTTAATTAAAAAAAAAAGGAGTAGGTAGATAGTGGTATCCTTAGTATTTAGGAATGACATAGCCTCTGGAGTCTACCAGCTGAGGAAACTTTTATCATTACAGCCTCCGAAATCCAAAGCTAAAGAGCCTAGGCCTCTGTGAGGGATTTGGAAGACTACAGGCCTTGGGATGGAGCTTGACAATTCCTCATCACAGCGCTGAGAGGCTATGGAGCAGGAAACATGCTTGGACTCTTGCTTTCAGTTATTCACCACAAAGGACCTAAGAGTCAGATCAGCTTAGGACCGAAGGCTCTGCCCTTGGGTAGCTGCAGCCACACTACGCCAGGAAATCCCCTGAGCTGAGCCCAGCCTCCAGCTGGGCTGGAGTTTTGGCCTCGGTGCAGGGTGATGGGCATAGCCTCATGAGATCAGGAAAACAAGCTGGAATTGGAGCTTTCACTTACCCTAGTATACTTTATTTAAAAAAAAAAAAATAGTCTATGTGGTATAATCAAGATGGGTACCTGTATCTTTCAATTACGTAGGGAATTTTGTATGTTTAAATAATTGTACTGGGTTCCATAATGCTTATCTTAGAAACTGTTTAGTAAAAGAAAATATATAAACCGTGCGTTTGTGAATGCCCCCCTTAGAGCATTCATCCAAGTTCAATGTGTAGTGCGATGGTTATTATAGTTACTTAAGTATAGTAAGTGGCTGTGTAACAGGAGAGACTGCTATTTACCTACATACCCACAGGTAACTCCTGCCCACGTAATTAAATCAGTATTGTCCTTTCCTGTCGGTTTGATCAATTGCAGTTCTGGTAGCTTCCTGCTTGTGACTGTTACCTAATTGTGTCAATGTACATCTGTAGTATGTACATGTGAAAGTGCCTTTCTATTTTAGAGGAGTTTTAGCCTGGCTCTTGTACTGTCGCCCCATTCTCTGCCCAGCCCGCCTCTGCCTCCCCCACCTCTCGCTGCCCACTGGAGTGTTTTGAAACGCCCCCTTCTCCCAGCTGCGTCTCCACCCCCACCTTCCCGCGCCTCAGTGCTCGGTGGTGTCTCGTTCTCCAGCCGTGTCCGCCGTCAGACTGTCTCGTCTCCGTAGACGTGGTTTGCGTTCCTCCCTCCTCGCAGTGAGCCCCCGTGTGCTCCCTTCCACGCCCCGCTCACGTGCTGCCGACTGCCATCTTGTCGCCACGCTCTGTACTGCCTCTTACCATGACGTTCCCGCCTCTCCGAGGCGAAATTAAAGGGGAATACTTTTACAGTTCTGCAAGAAGAAGAAAAAAGCTTTGTTCATCTGTTGTGACAATGCACTTTTCTGTACAGTACTGAACATTTTGGCATGTACCATTTCAGGCTTCAGTATATGGTCAGGTTTGTTCTTCACGGTGTATCTTTATAATAAAATAGTTCTGGCTGCCTCTTGTCTGTTTCCAATGTGGTATGATTCTCCATGGCATCTTGGGTTGGGTTGCATTGTGAAACTTTTTCCCTTCTTAAAATAAAAACTTTCGTTTTTGTTTGTGCATTTGAAAAGGACACAGCAGGCACAGGGCTGTGTCCTGTAGCGGTGGTTTTTCAGAGTGGTGGTTTGGGGACTCGTGTGTCGTAAAACACATGAGAGCTGTCTCTCAGAGGAGCCTCCTAAATACACACCACCTTGCAATTGAGCCTTTGAAAAGTCCTTTAAAAAAAAAAAAAGATTGTATTTATTTGAGAAGTAGAGTTACAGACAGTGAGAGGGAGAGACAGAGAAAGGTCTTCCATCTGCTGGTTCACTTCCCAAATTGCCGCTATGGCTGGAGCTGTGCCAACCCGAAGCCAGGAGCTTCTTCCCATCTCCCACGTAGGTGCAAGGGCCCAAGGACTTGGGCCATCTTCCTCTGCTTTTCCAGGCCATAGGAGAGAACTAGATTGAAAGAGGAGCAGCGAGGACTAGAACCAGCGCCCAGATGGGATGCTGTGGCCACAGGCGGAAGATTAACATACTGCGCCACAGCACAGGCCCCGAGAAGTCCTCTTTGGATGATAAACCTGGTCAACTGAACCCCTTTGTTTAAACATAAAAGGAAAGCTGACTCTTGGAGTCCAGCAATATTTAATAAACAGTTTTGTAAAACACTAGTGCTAGATTGACTATTCCCCAGAATGACATGTAAATCAAAAGAAAGACTTATTGAAATGTTGTACAACATACACAGAAAGCACACAAATCTTTGGGGTAATAGTTTTCACACAGTTTTACACTCATGCAGCCACCACCCAAATTAAGAAACAGCACATTAACAGCCTCCAAGAAGCCACTGCACTGTGCCTTAAATACACGTGTGTGTGTGTATTTTTTTTTTAAAGAATTTCAGAGGAAGAGACAAAGAGAGATCTTCCATCTGGTGGTTCACTCTCTAAATGACCACAACCTCCAGGGTTGGACAGATTGGAAGCCAGGAGCATCTTCCAGGTCTCCCACGTGGGTACAGGGGCACAAACACTTGGGCCATCCTCTACTGCTTTCCCAGGTGCATTATCAGAGGGCTGGATCAGAGGTAGAACAGCTGGGACTTGAACTAGCACCCATATGGGACGTTGGCATCCCAGGCAGTGGCTTTACCCCTCCACCACAGCACCAGTCCCTGCAGTGTACCTCTCCAAAGGTAACAAATCCTGATGAATCACACCAGGGGTCCATTTTGTCTGCAGTTTTTACTTTTGGCTCATACAGAGGTAGATTTTGTGTCTCTGCATCCTCTGATTGAAATTTCTGTTTGTGAGAGTTGTTGAGAGAGCAGTTTTCCATTTTTACCACAGTATAGAATTCCATTACAAAAATACACTCGATATTATATTTTAGTATTTCCTGATTGAAATTTGGGCATTATATGTGGGGGAACAAATGAACAGACGAAATCTCACCTGTGAAAGTAACTGTATTCCCAAAACATGATGGAGTTAACATTGAGTTCCATCATTAATTGCAAGGCCCACCTGAAGACAGATTACTGAAAGCAGGAGTGGTTGCTTATTATTTATTTCCCAAAAAAGCACCGTCTACTCGAGGCAAGAGCTCTTCACAGAGGCTGCCGGAAGCTGTTTCTCAGTGTTGCTTGATGCTGCAGTTCTCTGATGCTTTTCTTCGTTGCCCTCTCGAGGACTGGAGAGTTGGATTAGAGGCTATTACACCAAGACCAAGTGCTCAGATGAAACTACCGGATTGTTTCAGGAAAGAACTCATGTTCTACGTCTCCCTTCCTATTACCCTCAAGTCCAAGAGCCTCTGTCTGCCCTCTCTCCATGCACACCTTCTTCCTCACATCCCTCACTGTGGGAATCTTAGGAGGGGCTGGTGCTGTTGTGGCACAGCGGGTTAAGCCACTGTCTGCAGCACCGGCATCCTATGTGGGTACTATTCAAGTCCCAGCTGTTCTACTTCTGGTCCAGCTCCCTGCTAATGTGCCTGGGAAAGCAGTGGAGGATGGCCCAAGTGCTTGGACCCCTGCAACCATAAGAGAGACCCAGAAGAAATTCCTGGATCCTGGCTTCAGCCTGGCCCAACTTTGGCCATTGCAGCCGTTTGGGGAGTGAACCAGTAGGTGGAAGATCTCTGTCCCCTCTCTAATTCTGACTTTCAAATAAATTAAAACAAACAAAAAAAAAAAAAAACAAACAAAACAAGAAGACAACCTGTAGGAAGGTTTTGGCTTCTACCTTAAATAATGGAAATCTTAATGACTATCCCATGTTTAATCTACACTGTCAAGAAGCTTCTAGAAGTCCAAAAACTATGGCAAATTCCATCCCCTGCACGATATATTCCCATTTGGATTTTGGAAAATACGACCTTTGGGAAACACTGCAAGGTGCATCCTTACCTGTTTCTGTGTAGTAGATAGAAAACCCGGCTTCTGCAGTAGAACAACCAAGAAGCTGTCCTGTCAAGGTCAGTCCCAACAGGAGAGCCAGTCCATGTGCATGCACGTGTGTATGTAACACAGGGGATGACGGCAGGGAACTGCTCCTTCCAGAGCCCTCCAACAGCAGGCTTTGCTCAGCATCAGTATCGGAAGGAAGTCACAACATGATCCAAGAGCTCTACAGCTCTTGGAAGCTTACAATCCAGTTCTGGCGACTTGGTTGGATGCTTTGTTCACACCTATCACCTTTCTATCTGGAGCTCTCCCAAAGGTGATTGGGTTTCTTTTAGCTGCTTGGGTGTACAGCTGAAGTGAGGAATACTGATGAATTATCCTCTCAACAATGATACATTGTACTAATCTTTTGTCATTGACATTCAGGGAAATCCCTTGTGTAAAAACCATGTCCCAGGTCTGGCACTGTGGCGTAGCAGGTAAAGCCACCACCTGCAGTGCTGGCATCCCATATGGGTGCAGGTTTGAGTCCCAGCTGCTCCACTTCCGATCCAGCTCTCTGCTATGGCCTGGGAAACCAGAAGATGGCCCAAGTCCTTGAGCCCCTGCACCCACGTGGGAGACCTGGAGGAAGCTCCTGGCTCCTGGCTTCGGATCAGTGCAACTCCGGCCGTTGCAGCCAAGTGGGGAGTGAACCAGTGGATGGAAGACCTCTCTCTCTCTCCACCTCTCCTTCTTTCTGTGGAACTCCAACTTTCAAATAAATAAATCTTTAAAAAAACAAGTCCCTCATGATAGAAATGGATGATTGCATGTGTAAGTTTAGGGAGAGGGAAGCATCCTGTGCAGCTCGGTGGCATATTCAAAGCCGTACAGTGATGGGACCTGAACTCATTTGAAAATGAGGTCTGAGGTTCTAGGCCCATGATGGACTATGTCCATTTGTTTAAAAAAAGCAACATGGTCAAGATTTGTAATAGCAATTTTAATTTGTATGTGGTCTGTGAGCCAAAGATTAGTATTGTGTTAGTAATGTTAGCAGTTTAAAAGAGGAGAAATAAAAGTTAAGTCGATACCTATTATCTGGTCTTAATTTAAAAATCACTCAATTTCAACAAATTACCAACCCATGCCTAAATTTCCCAAACTATTCACAGGGTCATCTTGGTGCAGCATATTCTAGCATTTGTTTTTTCAGAAAGGTTCAATCCACATTCTGCTTAAAATTGTGTATTCTGGTTGGGTTTTTCCTCTCTCACGGTACTGCTTATTGGAAGTCTCAGTAAACACAATTTTCTTCAGTGGATGCATAATATTCTAGCATGTGAACAGAATTTATTTAGTCATTTTTCTATCACTGAGTGAGCCCTTTTCAGGTCTTGTTTTTCCAACTGAATGTTAGGTTATGGTGAGCAGCTCTATACAGAATAATTATCTGCGTTTGGATCATTAATTCAGCATTGACTCCAGAGAGTGATATCACTAGATCTGGGAATGTAAGCATCTCCAACCCTTCTAATAAATGTTATCTACCTGTTCTCCTGAAAGACTGTGCAAATTTACACTCCTGCCATCAATGCGTAACAGTATACAAACATAAAACATTGCCGTCTGTTTGCCAGCTTAGCTGGTGAATGACAGGTTCAATCTGAATTCTTAGCAGAAATCCGCATTTTAGCCACCTCTGTGTCCTAAGCCTCAGGCATCTCCCTGTTGTGTCAACTGAACATCAGCAGGCAGGTTTTCCCCAGGCAGATTAAGTTCAGCAGACCCAACACTGCATCTGCTCTCTCTCCCTTGTATTTCAAAACGTGTTCTGCCCCCGCACGTCCCGTCTGCACTGCTCTTACCTCATGCCGAACTTCATTCCTTCTGCTCCAACTCTGGCGGTTGCCTTCTAGATAGTGTTCCCGTGCCCACCGTCTCCCCCTCGCAATGACTGTCTACACCCCCGCTGACCACCTCTAACAACAACAAAAAATGAACAGCCATTGAAAATATACTGTTTTACAGACATGACTTTAAGTGTGTTACATAATAATGGCTAACGTGGGGACGGGCATGTGGCACAGTGGTCAAGCTGCTGCTCGATGCCCACATGCCACATCAGAGTGCCTGGGTTCAAGTCCCATTTCTACTTTTTTTTTTTTTTAAAGATTTATGTATTTGAAAGAGTTACGCAGAGAGAGAAGGAGAGGCACAGACATAGAGATAGAGCGAGAGAGAGGTGTTCCATCCGCTAGTTTACTCCCCAACTGGCCACAGCAGCCGGAGCTGTGTCGATCGGAGGCCAGGAGCTTCTTCCAGGTCTCCCCAGTGGGTGCAGGGGCCCAAGGATGTGGGCCATCTTCCACTGCTTTCTCAGGCCGTGGCAGAGAGCTGGATCAGAAGTGGAGTAGCCAAGACTCGAACCAGTGGCCATATGGGATGCCAGCACTACAGGCAGCAGCTTTACCCATTACACCACAGTGCCAATCCTGCCACCTCTACTTTCCATTCCAGCTTCCAGTTAATGCGCACTCTGAGGGGCAGCAGGTGATGGCTCAAGTGGTTGGGTCGCT